AGAGTCTACAGGATGTTCAGGGTCTCACTACTAGATCCGACTTGTAGTGATCCGCCTGTTTACAGCCTCCCAAGAGCTGGGATGACAGGCGTGCAGCACCCTGCCCAGTCTCAATTGCCTTCGCAGTTTGCCCTGGGGACAGGGCTGGCACAGCAGGGCTGGGGATCAAACTCCTGTTGCAGGCGCTTTAATCCGCCGAGCTACTTGGCCAGCCCCTCTTGATAATTTTTTATGAGGTGGTAAAATCATTCAACTGAAGTTGAAGAAGGAAAAGTAGTACAGGGGTCTTAGGAAGCGAGAAAGGCCAAAGAGTCAAGACCTTTCTAAAAGCCTCAGAGTGAGTGACTTTTCCTTGAGGATAGACAGAGATTTTTCTATATTCTGATAAGTTTTGTAAGAGCTTATATAACTGGTAGAGCTGTTCTTGTTGTTTGCCTGGGGTATGCTGAACCTAAGTCCTGCATGTGATTGTGACATCCCTAGGAAAATAGAGACCAAGAGAAAGTTCAGTAGAATAATTTCATTGTTGCAGTTTATAGATTTGTGGAATTAAATTGCAGTTATAAAGGAAAGGGTCATTTTAGGCAAAGGTATCAGGTTTATTAGGAGGCTTGCAAAATATGTATGGATTTTCTTTGAATATTTCTGTCCTCAAAAATACAAGTATTAAAAGAAAAGAAAAAGAAATACAAGTATTTCAGGTTTAAAGTCAGAACCTCTACTTTCTCTAACCTATAAACTAAACTTGTACATTGAACTTTTGAAGAAAAACATGGGAGAGAAGGCTGTAACACTTTTCACATCTCAACTTCTTTATCCCCTTACTGTCCAGTCATTGTTGATTTCTGGGATGTTTCTCCTTACCTACCTTGCTATTTGAGCAGGATGGTGGTATACAGTAAGTCTCTATTACTATCTTTACTAAATTTTTTTTCAACTGGAGATTGAACCCAGGCCTTCACATTGAGCTATATCCGCCAATGCTCTTTTTACATATTTTATTTTGAGATAGGGTCTTCCCCAGGCTAGACTGAAATTGGTAATCTTCATCCCTTAGCCTCCTAGAGGGCTGGGATTACAGGTGTATGCCACCTTGCCCAGCTGCCCGATGAATCTTGAGAAGATGTAGCTAGAGGGTAGGGAGTGGCTCAGCAAGCATAAGTGTTTGCCTGGCAGGTGCAAATTCCTGAGTTTAATCTCTATACCCCCTCAAAAAAGAGAGAGAGATGATATAGATAGAAATTTTGTCTACTTTGGTAGAGGCAGTCTGATAACTTGCCTTGCTCCTGTTAATTGGGAAGTTGGCTTGGTCATATAATCAGTGTAATCAGATTTCAGATTATTTGACCTTTATTGCTAATGTTTTTTCCTCTTTTCCGTTGCTCCCTTTTTTGAAGCATACAAGTGTGGAGAGTGAAGCGAATCTCCATTCTTCCTCTAGCACTTTCTCTACCACGTCCAGCACAGTCTCTGCACCTCCCCCAGTGGTCAGCGTCTCTTCCAGTCTCAATAGTGGCAGTAGTCTGGGTCTCAGCCTAGGCAGCAACTCTACCGTCACAGCCTCAACTCGAAGCTCAGTTGCTACAACTTCAGGTAACCTGACATAAGTGGATAGTATTCTACTGAGGTGTAGATGGATAGTTGAGTGGCAATGTAAAAATGTTATTTCTATTTTAGGAAAAGCTCCTCCAAACCTCCCTCCTGGGGTCCCGCCATTGTTGCCTAATCCGTATATTATGGCTCCAGGGCTGTTACATGCCTATCCGGTAAGTGGGACTGAAGGGCTGCCTTTTCTAGAGCATTAAGGTAATGCAGCTATTGTTTACAGCTCTGGTTTAAGATGGAAATAAAAATATAGAATAAATGAACTTTTGTTCTGTATGCAAATTCAAAAACATATATTGGTCATCATTTTTTTTTGGCGAGAGGATGAGGCAGGGTCTAGTTATGTAACTCAGGTTGGCTTTGAACTTACTGTGTAGTACAAGCTGGCCTTGAACTCACAGTACACTTACTGCTTCAGCCTACCAAATGTTGGGATTATAAGCATGTGCCATTGCTCTGAGCAGGCTTTTAATCTTTATAGTTTTGGAAAAAAATAATACTTAGGAAGGACTAAGCCTAGGTAAAGCACTTTATTGTTGGTTGTTTTGGTGTGAAATACCAGTTCTGGAGTTAAGGTGTCAGGGCAGGATATATTTTCTGGAATTCCTTTCAGTTTCCTTTGTTTTCTAAAGTTGAGTTTGATTTCTTTCCTTTGGGATCTTTACTGGCTCAAACCTGGGCAAAACAGAGTTCCTAGACTCATCCTAGAACTTTCTGAGAATAAATGGCTGATGATAGTAGCTTTCTTCTCTGGTGTACTGTATGTCAGTTACCTTTAGGAAATCAGTATCTCTTAAGATAAAGGAAACTTGCAAAAATTCTATTAAAGAAGCATTTGTTGGTACCGTTGGAGAAAAAAATCTAGCTAAACACAGAGCTAAAACATTGCAACAGCATTGCTACACTTGCTTTAAACTTTTAAAGAATTTTTTAGTACATGTATATAGTGCATGACATTTATAATCATGTTGAGTGTGAACATGTGCATAATACAGCTTCTTTTAATCCTCTTCCCCCCTTCCTCTAATTACCTTACTCTGATTTTTATTCTTATTGATATTGTTAATCTTAGCTAGTATTATGGCTTACAAGGTTTACATTCATTGAAGTTATCAGGTTCCTTCTACATGGCACATCTTTGTTTTACTCATTTCCCTTTTCTTTCCTCCTCACCCCTCATCCTTGTTCCCTCGGACCACTTCTCTATTGCCAGAGATCCAGCCTCTTGTATTCTTCTGTCCATCTTTTTTTGTTTGTTTTTGAGACAGTTTCACAGTTTATATTTCAGGGTATCTTTGGTTCCATCAGTCATTTAGGCTTTTCTCGTTAAGCGTGAAGATGAATGTTCTGTAGATGCACCCTACCTTTAGGCTCATTGTTTTACTATCATCCTGACTGGTTTTAATTAACACTGTTATATGTCAATATTTTTCAGCCACAAGTGTATGGTTATGATGACCTGCAGATGCTTCAGACAAGGTTTCCATTGGTGAGTATATGAAACAGCTTTGGAAAAGAAAGGGTTTTTGTTTTGGAGACAAGGGTGACCAGGCTGACCTTGAAGTCATGGCAAATCCTGGCTCAGCCTCCCAAGTGCTGGGATTACAGGTGTGTGCCACCATGCCTGGTAACAAAGTTCTTTTTTATTTTTATTTTTTTATTTTAGGGAAGGGTCTACAGGGTGTTCAGGGTCTCACTACCAGATTGGGGTTGCAGTGATAACCACCTGTTTACAGCCTCTCAAGAACTGGGATTATAGGCATGCACCACCCTGCCCAGTCTCAATTGCCTTCTCAGTGTGCCCCGGTGGTGGGGCTGGCACATCAGGCCCAGGGATTGAATGCCAGGCCCCTGCATCTGCTTGCAGGTGCTTTAATCCGCTGAGTATTTGGCCGGCCCTAAGAAAGTTTTTAATGTTGGGAAGATTATCTTAAGTGTGCAGTTGATAAGTCAGAGACCTAGATATTTCTTAGCCCATCCTTCTGTACACAAACCTTGATTTAATATATATAAAAATGGAAGGACTTAGTGCTGGGACTGGAAGCCAGGAACTCCTGTATTCTAAGCACACGTTGCCACTGAGCTATCCCCCCATGCCAAATATACTAGTAGAGTCAATTCTTTTTTTTTTTTTTTAATTGGAGTGATGGGAATTAAACCCAGGGCCCATGCTTGCTACAACTGACTGACATCCATATGCTCCTTCCCCTTTTAAAGAGAGTGGGAGGGCTGGTGAGATGGCTCAGTGGTCTAAAGCACCTACTTGGAACAAGCTTGGCAAAGCACAGGGACCACGGTTCGATCCTCCAGCACCACATGCCGGCCAGCTGCACCACCTGGTGGGCTGAGCTGGCCACATACATACACACACACACACACACACACACACACACACACACACA